CCGAATACCTGTGTCAAACATAGTGTCGTCGGGTTTTATCCGATCAATCTTTGTTCTTAAAAACAGTCAAATGGTATTTTTAAATACCATATTAAAATATCTTCGAATATTTGAATTAAACAAAGTGAAAGAAATTTTAAAGTAAAACAGTCAAATGGTGTTTAACATTATCCAATATTTGAAGAACGTAAAAATTTAGAAATTTTCAAGAAATTCAGACATTTTAGGCACTGAAAACAAGACGAAGACCGAACCCAGTTTCACTGGTTTTCTTCGTGTTTTTGTTTCCTTGTGCCTTGGTCAGAGGTACTGCTATTCACTAACATAATATATCTTACGTCAATCTAATCTATAGCAACGAGCTTATCAAAAGTATCTGGGAATCTATTAATATTCTAACATAAATATATGGGTTCGAGTTCTCAGTTGCATCAATGACGCCCTAAATTATGCACGTTGGTCTGTCTACTCTCTGTTTGTCTACTCTAATTTTAGAAAATGAAAAATAAAAAATGATTTATAACATTTGTCTGGTTAAGTCACCATGGTAACAAAGTGTTACATTTAGTCCAGTGAAAAATAAAGTTTAATTCGACGTCGAAAAAACTGAAAAGCATGAAACGACAGTAACAATGGTTAAATCGAATTTATTTCTTACGAAATGTAACCGACGTACATATTGTAGCTTCAGTGAAAAAGACACCAATTTAGACTACACTTTATCGGCTCATCAACATCCTTATGCAACAGATGTTATGATAAGTAGTAAACAGCAGTAAGCTACCTATCAATTATTTAGTGTTATGCCGAATGAAACATTCTATATAATTAATGGGTTTTGGCCAAAAATATCAGAGAGTTGTTATGTTTGGTTCAGAGGAAATAAGTTTAAAGTTAGAATGGATGAATGAAGTTGTAATCGCTTAAATTTTACACATCTATCTCAGAGGGAAATGTGAGAATGGAAAAACGAAAAAAAGAAAAGAAAATATTTTCAGAAAAAAATTATTCCTCTAAGGTAAAGTAACGGGTGTAAATTATAGTATCCTTATAATAAATATTCTTTTCTCCCTCGATACCTCTAATTCTCCATTTTTTCTTTCTTACTTTCTCATATATCTTATTTGCCTTTAAACGAGAACAACAATACTGAGAAAGTGCAAAAAAGCGATAAATAATTTCAATAGTTTGAGTCCTTGAAGTGCCCGGTATAAGTGATATTAATTCATCATACATGTCTAGTTCTTTCGTCAGAGATCTTAGGGCAGACGTTACCAAATGCTCTAGCCGGCCTCACGTGTAAAGTCACATGTTTTGCAATGATGTGAACAATCAGACAGCTGAAGTACTAAATAAATAAATTCAAACGTTTCATTGAGCAGGGAAATCATATTTTCTTTGCGCTTTTCTTAGGAATTCAACGTCAATGAAGCTCTGACGTATTTTAGCAAATTAACTTAAAAGAAAAAAAAAACACAAAAATTCATTAAGAGAAAGAGAGCTCGCTAAAGACACCACGTGTACAGGATAGCTTTTCCTTGTTACATAACGTAATTGGCAAGATATTGAAAGCCGGTAGATTTGTTCTTGAAGATTTTTTTTTATATATTTTTTTTAAGCTATTGATTTATCGTTGTGTCTGATATCTTTGGAAAACTCATTCGTGTATCAGCCAATCAGAGGTGGCGAACCCTTCTAAACAATTCCATAAGCCTTTTGGGGGGGCAATTAATGACATGTGCTATGACTCACAATAAAGTGACGGACGCCGGTTTGTTTTCCAAGGAGTGATGATGTTAAAATGTTATCCAACGATATTCTATATATCTCGAGCACGAAATACTAAAAACATCTTTTAAATGTTCTTTATCTATTTACACAGATATTAAAGTTGTCTAGATAAAATCTTGAGTCAATATCATTGTTAACGAGGTTATTTTTCTTAATACGCTCTTTATATTTTGTAGCTTATTTTAAGAGTATAATGCTTATGAGGTGTCATCTGTTTTTACCCTAATTGCGTTGTTTTTTACTTCTTTCATGTTACTTTAGATGTCTTCCTTCGCTTTACTTTGTTTTGGTCTGAATACAGTACCAGCCATTAAACTATATCGTGATGGGCAGGCTTTGTCTATGTTGACAGCACTCTTACACTACGTATTTTATTCCTAAGTGTTTGTATATTTCCTATCTTATTAGTATTGCCCACTAAATCCGTTTGTCAAAAAAAAAAAAACACAAGAAAGTACAACGTCACAGTTTTATTATCAAAGAGTTTTTGTGGAGTTTTGATTCATTCACAAACTGATTCATTTCCCCTGATATTTTCAGTATCTCAAAACAAACCCACTCAGAACTTGTATTTTGTATAGTGTCATCACGCTCACTTTAACTAAACTGTTTCTGCCCACAGAAACTCCTTGGCCAATAGTTCAGTTTGGTGCGAGTCTCACTGGTAGGACTCTGTACTCTCTGCTTCTTTCAGATATTGTCTAATTTTCCCGATTTTCTAAGGTCTTCTAAAATCTACCGCCTCAACTTTGAGATAAGATACCTGCCTTGTGGAACTTAATTCAAGGTGCCTTCGTAAACATTCAAAATTTCCTGTAAATTTAAAACAAAACCAGTCTTGATGAACTGCCGTATTGTCACTGAAAATATTTACGGTTATTACACATTCCTGACGTACGTAGTAACTATGTTTTTCAACTGCTGTAAAACAGAAAAATTAGCAAAATAAGATGTGGGAGTTTGAATATTTGTCCCTGAAAACTAAGAGTTATTTATACTAACGATAAAAACACGGTTCACTTAGTGGCGGTAAATATCCATGGTGCTTTCAAAAGATAACATGTTTTCTAAGTACGTTAGTAGCAGTTGAAAATATTTTCTGTCAAAAATAGCTCAAGGAAGTTATTACAAACTGTGGTTAATTTTCAAGTATTTTATTGTATTTCAGTTGTTTATGGTTTTGATATTTACAACTTTCGATCTATAAAAAGCTCTTATTTACAACATATAAATATAGAACAGAGATATATGTATATATATATACATATATTCTTTAGATAATTTATTACAGTTTGTAGAATTTTACTTAAATTGTGGTACAATTATGCTTTCAACCTGAGTTGAAAAATAACTTATTTACGAGAACGATTTGCAAGCATCATCTTGGTGAAATTATCAAATTTTGATCGTTCTTATACTACGAATTTGTGTCGTTTAGTTCCTAATGCTTTTTAAGCTTAAGAAGACTTAAGCTTAAGAAAAATCACGGAAACATATAGTTTGAGTCACGCTGCCGGCTGTATTTCTTCGCTCGGTTATCAGAATATTGATAAAAGCGTTCGTACATCTAGGTACAGATTATTCTATTTTTCGATTTCAAAGTTTCTGTGTTGCATTATTTAGTGTTTTTCTTTGAAAGAGATATCGTATTCAATACCTCTTTGGTATTTCTTGATCGCAAGAATATAAGGCACAGGACGATCTCTTCCACCGAAACCTTCGTGTATTGTTTCTTCTTCAGACAGATTAATCTCCAGAGTTTCACAGGAAAAACTTGATTTCTGGAACATTCTGAAGATCGCTTTGGAGTGCCAAGTTTGTTTTGTCATTGAGGCACAAAGTTGAATAATCGCTGTGTACCGGGGATTTGGAACCAAAAACATTTTTGTACGCTTCTTGGAACTGCTTCTTGAATGTTTCATTGCTTTCTTCAGTCTTGGCGTATTCTTCTAACAATTGCTCTGATAAAGTACTTGCACTTCTCTGTCGCGGTCGCCAATCTTGCTCCATATTAAGGCCGCTGACACCATCCTCAAAACTTTCCTGTTTACAATCCATATCGATCGCTTGTGTCTACTAGTAATAAGGGTGCTATATTTGGCCGTACTTCGTTTCAACTCAAGGCACCAGATAAACTGTTTGTGTCTTATCTATGCGAGGACCTTTTATAGAGCCTCACAACCAATGCTACTAAATCCGCCAATGACTCGAAATGACTCATTATTTCGACTGACGTCACCCAAGCCTTTCGCGCCAAATATGTCAACAACAAATCGATTGGATATGCAGAAGAAGCACGCGTGCACGAAAGCTTATCAAAACATTCGACGCGACCACAGCAGGTCCTTAAGCAAAACTCTCAAAAACAGCTTGGACTGCTACTATTTTCTTTGATGGTTTTTTCTGTTTACTAAACTCGGCTTTTAGAAAATAGATCTTAGTGTACTGCATGACATGGATAGAAAAGAAAATTACTAGGCTACGTGATAGCAGAGTTTTAGTGTCAAGCTGTGAATAAAGAAAAGCACACACAAATCTTTTGTTCTATTGCCAGGACATTCGAACTGCTTCTAAAGATTGGATTCTATGTAGTCTAGAGAGAATGATTTGTATTTAGGAGGGATTTACTACGTTATAGCACAAATGGGGATTTTTCCTGCCTTGATAAGATCAGCCTTACAAGCACCTGACTAAAATGCCTCTTAAATAAAGTAATTTTTTTGGAGATTACCGAAGAGAATGTACGAAAGCAAGATATCGAGAATGAAAATAATAGGACAATAGGGGAAATGAAATGATACTAAAGTAAAGCAAAACACAAAAAAAAAAATTTAATGGATTTAATTTAATTTTTTTTTTTTTTTTTTTTTTTTCTTTTCTTTTCCCTTCTTCTTCTTCTTAATTAAAAATGTGGCAGAGAAGTAACGAATTAATATGACAAAAGAGAAGTGGAAAAATAAAATAAAAGGGAAGAGCGAAAGTAAGAAAAAATGAAGAAAACGAAGAAGGAAAGAAGCTACAAACAAAAAAATCGGATAAAAAACGCCAATGTAGATAAACACGAAAAAATAGAGCGGGATAGAAATAAAAAAACATACATTAAATGTATTCGTAAAATTCGACCTGTTTTGACGAAGAAAAAAGAAGAAGAAGAAGAAGAGAAAAAAAATAGGAGAAAATTATGAACCGTGACGAATTAAGCCGATTACATTGATGTGCGATAAAAAGTAAAGCCGACAAATAATCCCTGCAACATTTTCTATAAAACGCCGTTAAATTTCAAGACTACACTGCTTATCAATCCAGAAATTGAATTCAACGTTAAATGGTYTTTCTCAGAATCGATCACTCGTGTTATTATTGGCGCGGAATATGTTCATGAACGCAAAATTTGATTGATATTTTTTCTGCCTGACTATAAAACGGAAATAAAACCACTAAATGACTGGTGGTTGCTATAGAAACACATTTAATGATTTCTTTCCTCAGCCTCTGCTGCAGCTGGATGAATAGATTTGTTATGTCTAGCGAGCGAGCACGGTAGAACATGCAGAGATAAAACAAAGAGCTGCCACTGCGACTAAAAGAGTTCTTATTTTTTAGCATATAGCCAGTGCTCACTGATTTTGTATGTTTAAGGCTCATTCGGAATTTTGTTTTCGTTCTAGTGTTGGTTTTTTAGYGTGAAATACGTTAATAGTCGGAAACTAAGCCTACGATACGATCCTTGAGTACAATGACTATTTTCTAGGCTGTTGGTAATCGTTGCATGACGTCTACACTGATGGCTCAGCACAGTATCTTACTGAAAAGGCAAGTCAGCCTTACTTGAAAAAGAAGCGGAAAAAAAACCAATAGTTTTATGAGGCCCTTATATAAGCTTCAGTTATCCGCCCTTTTCCCTCTATGATGATTCTGAGCTCAGTTTTATCCCAAAACTACCTATACAGTTATCTCTAAAGGTTATTTTCCACTATCCTTGATAAAATAAATTGATTCATCCCCTGGCTAAGCTATTTTGTCATTTAGCTCTTAACCTAAAAAGGTACTTTACCAGCTGTAAGCCCTTAACAGGGACGTTTTCCTAAGGTACCGGCTATGAGGTTAACTAAAATTTAAGTCGGTACTGAATTCATAAACTATTAGCCTGTAAAAAAATTCATTTCCTGTTAACTTTATTTTTCACTCAGGTAAGATCTTTAAGTGATCCGATTATGATAACATTGGAGACTGAAAGACTAATGCTCTCAATAAGATTAGCCGCTCGACCCAGAAAACGGTTAATATTGTTGATTAGAGACTGGGATCTACGAGTGAATTTTGCAATGCATTTTGAAAAACCCAGCAATGAATTTTATATGCAATTATATCTAGTATAGATGATGGATCGGACTTGTTTTGAGTATCTGTGCCAATAGTAGCTCGACTGTTCTACGTGACCAGCCCTGGTCATGCAACCGCTTAGAAACTCAGCAACGCTACCACCACAATACTGATACTAAAGATACGAATAACGACCAGTACTGATTGTTATAGAGAAGGTTATCAATGTAGGTAGATTACCCGTGCAATTTTGATAGCAATTTCATTTTAATTCCATGATGAACGAGGTCGTTTCGTGTGCTTTACAAGTCATCCGTGATAGCATTCAGACATTTTGGCTTAATAAGTGCTGTACGTGCTCTCGGTGTAAAGAATAATAGTTTCTCGAGGAAATGAATACATTTTTTAACGATTTACCTTTGATTTTAGCGCTCATAAGTTATTATTTCAGGCAAGGCTCTTTGCAATGCATGCGGTAACTTGTAAAAACCTTAACCCTTAGGACTTCCATCAGAGCCTGATTTCTAGAGTCATTTGCGCTGTTACAGGCAGGTGCGCGCACTACTTCAAACGTCCTTTTAAAATAAAATTTGGGCGAGTGAGGATTAGTAACTAGTCTAATAACTCCAGGGGAGGGGTGTGGGGAGTGAGGAACGAAATGAATATACAGGCTAACTCTTTTAAGGGTATTCCATGGGGAAAATATGTTTGTCTTGAACACTAGGTTCGCCTTTCGCTCATGTAAGCGGGATCTAAAAATGGAGCTATTGCGGCGGCGGGGGAGGGTGGGGTGGAAGGGGGTGGGGAGGGGGAGAATAAAAGAGTAGGTGTTTTATAAAACAAGAGAGCACTGTGCGGACTTTATAAACGGAATATGCCACACTAATATTTTGGATTTGTCTTTTCTTTCAGCATTAGATAAGAAGTAAGTTCGACAAGTTTGAACCAGGTTGTTTGAACCAGGGCTTGGCACTTCCAAAATTATAACCAAGTGAATGAATCACCAATGCATGATGAAACGTAACACGTGACATGTGCACGCACGTACACTACCTTAAGGTGAGTGAGAACGAAAATTTTATATTCCTGCAACGGCTCTACGTGCTGAATATCATGGAGTAGTGTTCGTAGTGTTCGTATTCGAGGTGTTGGGTTTGACTAGGCCAACGGCGCGTGACCATAGGCAAATGAAACCAAATCCTGTGTTAAGTTAAACGTACGTTACATAAAATGTCCATTATCATCCATTATAGACGTCATTGATTAAGTAAAAGCACTAAGATGTTTTACGAACCAATCCAAATAGTTCAGTTAGTAATATTTACTCTAAGATCAGATATTCATTACAATTGATTGAGTGATGTCAGTAGATAACCTTACGAATATTTCCTTACCATGGAAACTGTCACAAGACAGTGAAACGTCCATACTAAGGCTGCGCTCATAATGTATGGCAGAGGGGAGGGGGCAGGTGAAATCTTTAAATGACAAAAAAATCTTAAGACCCGGGCCCTGAAGTCCCCCCAAAAATAACTATCCCCCTGGGCAATCTCTCGTAGCTTCTTCTAAAAATTTTGCATCCCCCCCAATTCTCTGAAAAAAGTTTTCAACCCCAACCCCCCCCCCTCACAACCACTCTCTGCCATACATTATGAACGCAGCCTAAATGCATTTGAAAATTTATTATCCTCGATCGTGCATTGATTTGTTTTTGCGATATTTGATCGAGGTCTTTGGTTAACGATACAGGAAGAGATATATGAAACCCTTGTAAGTAAGTCTTACTGAGTGTATTTATAGGAAGCAATACAGATTTGGTTCTATATTATTTTAGTTCTTAAGTGGCGTGGGTGAGCATTTGTTTATTAATAGCTAGTACATGGTCACGTTTAGAGCGGCTAAACTCCATATCACCAACGCATCTTATACTATAGTTTCAATAAACAAAGCTTTAAATAAAAAATAAAGCGAAAGAAACCCCAAAATTACTCTCGATATTTTAAAGTTAAATTGGTTGAAAGAGATCAATGAGGATTTAGTCTTGTTATTTTTCGATTTTCTTGGCTCTTGCCCTTGCTTCGAGGGTTTTTCTCAACGGATTCTTCCGTTTTACTCCCACTGCTATGATTCTAATTTCAATTAAATACGATTACTTTTTCTTCTCCCTAAGCAGAGTGCTCGCTTAGTTCTACAGTTTTTCTTGTTATATATTTATTCTTTTATTTCAATGGATTTCACTCCAAAGAATAGGCTATATACAGTTCATTGGTCCCAATTTTCATCATAAAGCTCCCATCCTAATATGAAACTAGTATTTTTTGAGAAAATATAGGCGCATATTTTCAGGATAGAGGGATTTGTTGTAAAAAGTAGTGCCGAATGTGGGCGAGGATGATAACATTATTTAATATAAGAAATAAAACTTTCTATGGAGTATTTTTAACCATGAAGTAGATTGATATTACTCAATCAATAAACTAAACTCATTCCAAAAATAATGAAGTTAAAATTGAATGTCATTTCAATACTTGTAGTTCAACGGCTCTGTATCCCCTCTTTCCTATCAATTTTCCCATATTTTCCTTCTTTTTATATTTTTCTATTAGAATTGATCGACGTCAAGATATTTTTTAACTAAAAAACCTGTCGAACAATTCGTTGTTGTTTTTACTAAAAAAATAACTTGGAAATGAAATTTCGAACCAATAAAAACATCAATTATTCAATACTTTTTGATGTAGTTTTTTAGATTTTACTACTTGTCATGAAGCAGTTTTTATGAAACGTTCGTGTTGTCGACATTTTAAATAGGAACGTCTAAAAAAAGATAAAAATATTGGTCATTTCAGTAACGTAATAGAAAAACCAGCTGAAAACGGATATTGCGATATGCAAGAGAAAATCAGATCAATAAACCATCTATCTGTCAGCTTTTCATTGTTACGCATCCTATTTTACAATTTGAACAAATTATATTTTCTCATTTTTAACGCAGATCGTTTTCTTACAAATTTCAAATTCAACGTGATCGTAATATCTTTAAGCGATTTTTTCAAAACTAAAGGGTGAGTATTTTTGAAAGTTATCGATCGAGTTGTCATCTTATCTGGTTGTTATTGTCCTCTTATTTGCTCGGAAAATACCAGGAAAGTACAAATACAGATAAACTGGGAATACATCACGTACTGTTTTCCCATTACAGGCCTTGCGGCTTTGAAGTCATTTAATTTCGTCTTCAGAACTCAGAAAACCTTATTCAACTCACTAAAACTTGATTGATAGCTCGAATTTGTGTAAACAAAGAATTTTCTTCCTTCTAAATGATCAAAAAAAATAGTTTTTTTGTTTGTACAAAATTTCTTTAATTCGTCAAAGCCGAGAGATAAAAGAAATTCACCATCGTTTGTAAGCAAGTCCCGCATAGCTTCAAATGACTTTCAAACAACTTCAAAAGCAATATTTTTGCAATTTCCTACCCTTCTTCAATCTGTTGTTGCGCATACTGTGATATTTTCTTTGTTTTTAATGAATAAACTTTTTTGTTTCTTTACAAACGTGTCAAAAATATTGCATTTGTTTTGGCGGGAAACTGTTCCAGTGACGTTAGCAGTGATGGACTTGAGCACGTACGCTACTCAAATAAATTGATATTGTCACAGAATTTAATTTCACAAGAGGGGATATAAAAGCCAGACAATTTCCAGTGAATATTAGTTTAGGGAACGTATTCGGAAGAAGTGGTTGTTTGGTTTACAATCTCTTGTTGTTTCAAAACAAATATTGGACATTACAATTTGGTTCTGAATATTTGAAAACTAAACCGCGCCTTGTACCGTCAGGATTGATTTATGATCACAAAGACGTTACAGTAATGGAAAAGACGTCACCTCGGAATAATAACCCTGGTTTCCATAAAGGACGCAGTTCTCGATCATTTGACTTGGAATCAACGAAAAACGCTGAGAACGAGGATGAAAAAGTCAATGAATTGAACTTTGCAAGACGACGACGAAGTGAGTCGATCAATTCTCGTATCATCGATGACTACTTGAAAGAAGAAAACAAAAAAGAATTAAATAAAAAAGAATTTGAAGAAGCTTATCAAAAAGTATACGGAGCAAACGTATCACCTAATACTACCACATCTTGGCTCAGCGACTCGAGCCTTGTAAAATGGCCTTGCAGTGATTATGTAGAAGCTGCAAGATTTTTTCTTTAGAGCTATTAAAAAAAAAGGAGTTTGAAAAACAAGAAGGTATAACATAGAAGATAAAGAGTCTTGCAGAAACTTTTTTGCCATCTTGGCCGCTTAGCGACTCCAACCTTGTAAAATGGCCTTGCAGTAATTATGTAGAAGCTGCAAGATTTTTTCTTTAGAGCTAAAAAAAATGGAGTTTGAAAAACAAGAAGGAATAACATAGGAGATGAAGAGTCTTGCAGAAACTTTTTTGCCATCTTGGCTTAGCGACTCGAGCCTTGTAAAATGGCCTTGCAGTACTGAATTATGTAGAAGCTGCAAGATTTTTTCTTTAAGCTAAAAGATAGAGTTTGACAAACAAGAAGGAATAACATAAAAGATGAAGAGTCTTGCAGGAAACGTTTGCCTCAGGCTATGCAGGAAGGAAAAATAATAGTTCGTGTTATTTCTTCTAATGAAGGCTTAGCTACATGTTCACACACATAAAAGGTCTTGAATGAAGAGTTCATAGAAAAACTCATCACATCACGTTCTGAGACCTTCTGGTTAGACAAGCCATTGATGACTACTTAAAACAACTGAAGATAATCATTGAACCACTCGCGACCAATTAAAACGTCCAATCACAAAAAAGAAAAAACATTGATATTTTTATACCGAAAATAATTCTAACATGTACTTGCATCCGCTTCTTTTCTTAAGAGAATAATATTCAAAAACATTACTAAATAATAATAATAATAATAATAATAATAATAATAATAATAATAATAATAA